TAACGACAATGGGACACTACAATTCCGATGATTCAGCCACTTTTGTAACATAGAATATTATCAATATTTTCCATAAAATCAGGAGCGAAAAACGTCACTGTCCGCCGGACAATCAAATTGAAAGATCTACTTGTTCGATATTGGAGAAATACACGTCGACACACGGTGGGGGGGGGACGAGTATTATATACAGCACACAGGGTTTTGAAGGGGAGTGATTGTAAATATCTACAGAAAAATAAATCTGACATTTCAGTTCTCGTCATAACTGCAGTTTCGAGAGACTGTACCCACTAGTCCTCTGATGTTCTCTCCAAAGTGCACACCAGATTAGGCTTTAACTTAAACATTAAAAACAAATCTTCGGGGAGCATGCCCCGGACCCCTTAAGGAGTAAGGTCTCCATTAATCATGTCCACATGGATATGAAACTACAAATACATTTGCACACATCTTGTCCCTTACTGTGGTGGGTAATACCAACAACGCGTGCACGTCATGCATGGCTCGATGTCATGGGGTCGAAGATAACTGGATTAAAGGTTGTTTCTTTCTCATCAGCATGAAAGAAAGGCCAATGAATTGGCTGTGATTTAGTTTTTTTTAAGCAGAAGTCAAAATTTGTAACGCCCCTCAGGAGGAATGGTTGAAAAAATATAGGAAATGGCCTTGAGAAGGAAAAAGGTTTCCCACCCCTGCATTAAATGATTAAATAATCAAAATAACAAATCAAACGTTTGGCCATACAGATGGATTCCAGTTGCCGCGGACTGTAGGCTATGTAATGTTACTTTGAATCGGATTAACTTATGTTGTGGCAGATATTTAGTAGCTTTCCTTAAAGGCTATGATATAATAGTCAGAATTGCCTGAAAAGATGGGAGGATGATATTCTATTAATGTTCACGTTCACAGTCAAGTTGATTTTTGACAGCCGTCTTTCCTGCAACGGCAGCATTTCTATATTATCCGTTTCTCCTGTAATATGACTTGATCGCTTTAAACTCCGCACAGGAGCTCTGATTGGTCGCAGGCCGTGCTTTCAATGAGTTGATCCTCTTGCCGCAACCTACTTAGGTTAGCCGTTCAGCATAAGTTGCCATGGAGATCTAGCCCGGTAAGAAGAGAACCAGCGTTGTAGGACCGGAAACCCAGAGTTAACCCTGAAGTTACCTCACTAAGTGAAAATCCGGCTTCGTAGTACAGGCCTCTGGCCTCTGAACTACAACTCCCAGAGAAAAACAAACATGTTGGTGTGTGGCGCTACCTGAAGCCTGCGTCTGAATCCCACCGAGGACTACTGGGATCTGTGCTGCTAACGGCGTCTGTAGCTGTGCCTGTAGCTGGGCCTTTGGTTTAGCTGAAGTTGCCACGGTGACCTCCAAGGACCCCAGCGGAGGGGACAGCACGTCTCCGTACATGTAGGGAGGAGTGGGGGGGTTTTCCCCTTTAACTGTGATCTGGAAGAGAAGACGCAGTCAGATTTGTAAACATGTCAAATGACTTATAATAATCTGTACTAGGAAACCTGATTTATGCTGCTGCAAACATAATGTCTTACGTTTCATTATATTACATAAAGAACATTTCTAAATGTTGGTATTGTAGCAGGGTTTTTTTTCAGACCCTTGTATTAGAGACATTATTTATATGTCCATATTCATCTATTTATATATTTTCATATATATATATATACATATTTATTTCCAAATGTCCTCAGTTAATGCAAGTTTTAACGTTTCAGAATGTTAACTTCCTTTTCAAATGTTTTTCTTTCTCCAGCTCTTTCACATTTATAGGAAGACTTTTAATGTGAAAATACATGTTTTTATGGGAGCTTCATATCCATCAAGAGAGCAACATAGGAGAACAGACTGGGTTGATTTCATCACAGTTGTAGCTCTTTTGTGATTTGTCACTTTGAGTCGTTTTTTCCTTTTCCATGTTTTAGAGAGAGCAAAAAACCTTCACTAATCAATGTTTATGATGATAAACGAGACACATGCTTACACAACTCATCAAAAGTCATGACTTAACACACACCTGAGGGTCTGGGGATGCTGCAGAGCATTCAGAACTGAATGAGGATGCAGGAGAGGGAGGCTCTGCCTTCACCTGGAACACTGGACACACAACCAAAAACATTAACTCATGAAATACTGACAATTTGAGCAAATGTGTTTTTGTTAAATTGATCAGAACTCAGAAAACGTACACATTTCCACAGGTAACGGCTTAGTGATGGTCATTTCACTTTTGATCACAGGAGCCTCCCCTTCAGAGAAGAATGACACGAGTATGTTAAGACAAAGAAAGAGGATTTCAAACTGCCAAACCAAGGCTCAAATGTGAGCTTACTGAAAATAATAATAATAATAATATATCTGCAAACTCATTCAAAAGACATAACAGTAGGAGAAGCAGTCTACAATCAAATATAGATGCTAAAGAGGAATGTTTAAGTTGGAGTGTTTGTGAGGAATGGGACCTTTTGTTCAGGGAAACAATTCCACCAAAATCTGTGGTACAGCAAACATATCAAATAAGTTCCTCATCTAACAAAGAGTTGATGACAGCAACAGTCTGACTTTCTGATGGTGAAAAAACAATACATATAATACAACATTATTTCTGGCTATGATATGCTTGGAAAAAAGCTTGCAGGGATATAAGAGTTGGTTATCATTGTGCTGTTCTTTAAGTTGAAACATAACTGAATGATTATATTTACACAAAGAATAATGAGAGTTTATGACAAGCTTTACGAGTCACGGGTTAAAAACGGAAAGAAGAAGCAACTTCATGTCTTTTTAAAGGATGTTTTTGTTCCTTTTGAAAAGATGAGTCTTGCGATGGTATTCAACATGTTAGAGTTAGTTATTAAACTAACTACACATCACCACGGCTAAGCTAAAGGACGCTAATGTTGAGTGTGATGATGCATAATAGTCTTATTTAGTCATATGCTGGCAACTGCTGTTTTCATGACAAACAGAAGCTACATTCAGTGGAGCAATTACTGACATCCTAAAAGAAAGCATGACATCTCTTAAGCTTGTATATTAACCACAGACCGTATTTCAGACAACTAACCAAAAGAACATTTGTGGAAACCAAAAGTCTTACATTTTCGGGTTATAGTCATGCCTGTACCACTCTATACACAATAGATCATCAACAAAGTCCTGAACAAAAGCCTATTGACCCTCTTTGTTTGAGTGAAGGTAGCTTCAATAAAAACTAAATATTCCTGGGGTGATTTTTAAAGAATGTCTTAAGTAGAAACCAATTGGCTTGGAACGGATTGACAAAGGCAGGAAGTAATACAGCATTGAGAAATGGACCCAGTGTTGGTTTTGGTCTTTTCACAGGATTTGATGTCAAGACAAATACAGAATAGTGCAGCATAATCCTCTGTTTCCTTATTTAATCCTGATATATCCAGGTACAAAGATAGTTTATTTATAAAAACGGTATTATTACAGAACTGCTGTTGCTTTTAATCTTATTCAATGTTTTCCACCTTCACCGCTGCGTCAGCAGTGAGGGTGAAGCAGCTCCTGTTTAATGGACTTGAAAGCAAAACACTGACGCAGCTGGTTTCATGTTTCCACTGAAGGCCTGTGATAGGCTGGTCTGTTACCTGTGAGAAGGTTTTCGTCAAGGTGTTGCCATGGCGACGTGGGGTTGTCAGGATCGAGGGTGAACACAAGGTTATTGTCAAACTGTGAGAGGGAGAGGAAGGAGGGAGTCAGGTGGACGATTTTGCAAAACAACCGCTGGCTGGATTTGTGCGTGTGGGTGCGTGCGTGCGTGCGTTAGTCAGCCATCTGACACAGTTAGCCTGATTATCCTTTGACCCGTCATCTGAACTAACTGGGGGGTTTAACTGCAGCGTTTATGCTGCTGCCAACAAAATGTAAATGAGAGACGCCAATAGTCCACTTTTATTCTCCATATATATCAACAGTTTAGGTGAAAATGTGGATGAAGCTACTTTACATTTTTATGCGGATGATACCGTGATGTATTGTGCAGGTCCCTCCATTCAGGAGGCTGGTGTTGAATTACAGGCTGTTTTTAACACTATTCAGACTCAGCTTGCTGAGCTTAAGCTTCTTTTAAATGTTGATAAAACCAAGGTAATGTTATTTTCAAAAGCTAAAAAGACACCAGAGCCTGTTTTAGATATTGTTACTATGCAAGGACAAGTAGTAGAAGTGGTTACCTGTTACAAATACCTTGGTATCTGGCTTGATGATTGTCTTACTTTTAAACTTCATGTCAATAACCTGCTTAAAAAGCTGAGGGTCAGGCTAGGTTTCTTTTTCAGAAACAAGTCCTGTTTCTCGCTTGAGGCCAGGAAAAGGCTTGTCACTGTGACCTTTTGACCTGTGCTGGACTTTGGTGATTTGATCTATATGAATGCACCTGCCTATTGCCTGAACAAGTTAGATGCCGCCTATCACAGCGCACTGAGATTTGTCACAAATTGTAAAGCACTTACTCATCACTGTACCCTGTATGCCAAGGCAGGTTTGCCATCACTCACTGTAAAGAGGCTCAGTCATTGGTACACGTTTATTTATAAAGCTTTGTTGGGTAAACTCCCGTATTATATCTGCTCTCTGATAACACAGAGAGTTGCAAGCAGCTATTGTCTGAGATCTCATGATGTAGTATTGTTAGATGTGCCAAGAGCAAGGACTGTCTTAGGTAAGACAGCTTTTATGTGCGCAGCTCCACTTGCTTGGAACAATCTTCAGCAAGAATTGAAACTGAGCAATTCATTCCTCTGCATGTTTTTAAAGCTAGGCAAAATGAAATGCTCGTTGATACTATGGGGCACTTGTTAAATGTCTATAACTATGTAAATGTTATCCTGTAAATATAATGTAATGATGTCCTTTATTGTTTTATGTTTCATTTTGGAACCTATATGCTGCAGGTCTCCCTGGAAGCATAGATCTTATGATCTCAATGGGTACCAATCTCGTAAATAAAGGTTTGAAAATGAAATGATTCCCAAATTACAGAGTTAAGAAAATAATTTCAACGTCTTCTACTTAAGTATTTCAAATGTCACGCTACTTTATATTCTTTAATACATTAGATTTCAGAGCTAATATTGTGATTCTTAAGTCACTACATTTTTGGACTAGTTAAGTAGTTGGCTTTAATATAAAAACGTATATCACCTGATGTATACTAATATAGTATAAGGCAATAACTCCCTGTTACACAATAAGATATGGAATATTCATGCTGCTTTGAGACTAATGACTACATTTCATACATGAATTGTTTCATAGAGTCCCTTATGGATGCCTTTCTTTTTTCCTGGTGTTTTTATATAGGTGCATTGGAAATGGTCTTCAATTGGTCCTGCACATATCCAAAAGCTCCTCCAGATGGAGCTTCTATTGGCTAAAGCTCAATCCACAATTTGTACGTGCTAAGGTGGGACATCTCTTGTAATTCTTTTTTCCCTACATCATTTTGATAGCTACAAGTTGCTGTTACTCATGTAATTTAGTAAACTACTAATTTAAGTAAAGAATATAAAATACTGAGATGTGACTGAAGTGTAGGCTAATAGTTGCAGAAAGGATCAAGCTTTGTATTATTGGCCAGCTAAATTGTTAAATATATATGAAAGCAATGACTGCTGTTACAGTAACAATGTTAAAGGATGCATGCTGCAGTGACCGTTTAAAGTAAGTTGTTCCTTTTCGTTTTACGTAATCCTTCCGAGAAGATGTTTCAAAGATATATATACTGTGTTGCAAGCTGTGTATCGAGGTTTCTTTATGTGGCTGCATGCAGTTGGAAAGGTCTTCAACATAATGTCGGTTTACAAAAGAGGGGCCATTACACTATTCAAGATGATGCTAACCCGAGAGAAAATAGTTTCAACTTTCCAAAAGCAACGTTGAAATGTTTCATTTGTGCACTGAATGACTGGGTTTTTGGTAACAGGAGGCCGAGCTCCGGTTTCTCCTCTCAGTCCGGGACAGAAACCAGAGCTCTAAACAGTTATCAACTTTCTTTTTGTCTCCGACGTACCGCCGGCTCGTGTTTTCACCCCTCTGCTGAAGTCAGCGTCCTCGCCCTCCTCCATGCTCTCACACACTGGTACAGACAGGCATCTGAAGAGGGAGAACACAAGAAAGAAAATACAACGTTAATATTATTCAAATATTGACTTAAGCAAAATAAAAGCCAGCTAACATTTTAAATGATATCTAATGTAGAATGTGTTCCAGTGAGTTCATTAGTCTTTAGTGTCATTTCTTTCTTCGTTCACTTTCCACACAACACATCTTTAACGTCAAACACCACCTAACCAGGAGGGCAGGTCGCTATGCAATGATGATTATGTGAAGCAGTGGCCGGAGCACCTGATTGAATGTGCCACTTCTTTTTAGTGAAGCACATATGGCATGACGCACAGATACACCTATCATCAGATAACATCGGAGAAAGAGCGTGGTGATTGGGCGGACCAAAGAAGATTAGCCTCAACTTTTCAAATCGCAATCTCTGGGAAAAAGATCACTCAACAAATCTTTCATGGACTTTCTTTTGTAAAAAAAATTTTTAGTTCAAAATGTTATATTTATGGAGGTGCTGGTTTATGCACAGTCCTGTAAAATAACTAAATATACTTTACAATCAAATGCACACGTTACCGTTTCCTAGACACGGTATATGATCCTAAGTAATAACATACGAAGTAAACAATGAAGTTGCTAACATCTTCATGAGAATATTAAATATCTATCTTGGTTGTGCAGTTTACAGTGATTGTTTGCACGGAACTATTGACACAAGTGTGTTTCTGACGGTCCCAACCAGCATTGAGCTCGGTTCCAGGGTAGAGCAGCAGGTGAAGTCAGGTGATGCAGACTCTTGATAACCCACCCACCACACTTGTGGATGGAACAGCCTCTTAGGCCCAATCCCAAAGCACTTCCCTGACCCTAACCCCTCCGTGACGGAGTGAACTCCATCGGTAGCCACCTCGCAGCTGAACGAGGCTCTCTCCTGTCAGAGTGCGTAGTAAATACAGCGGCAAGCTTTGGGACCGGCCTCGCCCTCATCNGCTAATAACGCTAATGCGAGCAAATAAAATAGTGGCTTCACAAACATTTTCTGAGTTTTACGGCGCGTGATTTGCAATTCGCCCAGCCAATCAGAAATTGTTAGTGTGGCCGACACACCCACGAACCATTTCCTCACCAGGAAAGTACCACCTCTCTAGCAGGAACTATCTTGGGGTGAAAAGGTTTGCGAGAACTAGGTTCTAGTTCCAGATCTTTTTGGTGTGAAACCAAAATCCCAAGAACTATTGGCCTAGTTCCTGCAAAGCAGAGGTGGGGACTCGAGTCACATGACTTGACTCGAGTCGCATATTTTTTTACTTGAGACTTGCTTGACTAACATTGATAAAAGACTTGACTTGACTTTGACTTGGTATTCATGACTTGAGACTTGACTTAAGCTTGAGACAGATGACTTGAAAGGACTTGACTGTTTAAAATTAAATATTTGCGTTTGTTTTTGTAGTGGGATATTACGTTTAGTTTTTTAGCGGTATGCAGGGTCTGCAGCATAAAGATCAGTGACAGGACCACCACAACATCTAACTTCATTCGTCACTACAAAAAAACCCACAGAGAAAGGTAGGCTACGTGACTGTGTTGTGTTAGCTAGAAAGCTAACGTTAAGTTTAAGCTACGTTAGACTTGGTTTCAAAT